AAAGTACATAAATAAATAAAAGCCCAACCAGATGGAGGCCCTCGGCAGGGGAGACCAAACGGCCGAGGGTTAGGGGGAAAGGGAAAGAAACCGGCGGACGATGCGGGCGGTATCGAGGAGCACCGCCTTCTGCATTTGAACCTGGAGCGGTCCGCCACGTAGTCCCAGCCGCCTCAGATGACCCGAGAGGCTGACTGGGATTAGCCCGTTTGCAGAGACTACAGGAATAATTTCGGTCGGCAGACCACCCCACATGTCGGTCACCTCGTGAGCCAGGTCCAGATATTTTGTTTGCTTGTCTGTTTCGGCTTTCACGAGGTTCTCGTCATACGGAATGGTAATGTCGACCAAAAATATCCTTGACTGTGCCCGGTCCATCAGCACAATATCAGGCTTATTCGCAAGAATAGTCCTGTCTGTGATGATGGCACGGTCCCAATAGAGCCTGGCGCGATCATTTTCGAGCACGGCTTCCGGCAAGTACTTGTAATACGGCAATTTCCGATCCACGAGACCGTATTTCAGAGCGAGCTCCTGGTGTAGAATTCTGGCTACTAGGTTGTGCCTGTGCAAGTACTCAGAGTTAGAAAGCGCCGAACAACCGGAGATAACATGCCTAAGTGACTCACCGGGATGGCGACAAGCTCGACAGATGTCGACGGTGCTATCCTTTAGGATGTATCTCCGATAGTTGTTGGTCTTAATAACCTGATCCTGTATTGCACAGACAAAACCCTCGGTTTCCCCGAAGAGATCACCAAAGCGTAGCCAGTGGAGGGAGGCTACTGTGTCTACGAAAGGCTTATGTAGAGCCTTGTAGAACCTCCCGTGGAGCTCCTTCTCCTTCCATACGGTCTCCCGGTCGGAAATGCTCTGCACTGCCGGGTCTTGCCATTGCTCGTTGGCTAAGGATAGAGGGGTAAGTCCTTTATCACAAGAAATGACGTCCTTATAGAATGGATCATCCGATCTCGCCAGGAAGTAATCACGGAGGCTGCACACTTCGCGATTATGCATGGTGAGCGCGCTCAAGAAGCCACGACCACCATGCTTCCGCGGCAAGTACAGCCTCATTACCGACGATCTCGGATGATGCATCCTATGGGACGTCATTGTAGTGCGGACTTTTCTATCCAGGGCGTTAAGTTATTATTATTATTATTATTATTATTTGTCGGAACCGCGCCGAGCCGGAGCCGGGAAACAATACCCTCCGACATTTCGACACCTTGCCCCGGCCGGGTCTTGGCGTGAATCACTTCCTACAAAAAGTATGCTAAGATGTTTGACCATGTCCCGGCCGGGGCTCGGCCGTGGCCCGGCCTGGTCGCTACACGGTGTATCGTGAACCATCCTTTATCCTTTAAAATATAAGACTGATGCTTGAGCCAAGATCTTACCTAATTTCGTGATTATAGTGTATATGGTTAGAACGACACCCTAAAATGTGTAAGTATGCCTAATGTAAGAAAATACATGTATAACCATGGCTAGAATCTGCAGTCACCAATGCGCCTGCTCGGCAAGGTCCATACCAGGCAAACTTTTTAAACACAGCAAATATGTTTGTTAGTCCTCTAAAAGGCCTGTAAAGAAAAATACACTAACCTCAATTTTATTGTCATAGTAGTCGTACTGTTTTAAAAGAACAATAGAATAATAATAATAAATATATTATTATATCATATTTGCAGATCCGTTAGGCATTCCGCTTTCTGTGATAGCAACAGATTACACTAACTACGCCGTAGTCTACGGCTGTAGAAACAATGAAGAGTTGGATATTAAATATTGTAAGTATATATTAATTCAAATTGCAGTTCTATATGTCCCACGGCTGGACATAAACCACTTCTGATTTCCAGGTATTACGGAGCCACTAGACTACCGCGCTAATCCAGTGCGAGTTGGTTTTCTCATATAGATATCCTAACGTACAAATAATTTATGGGAAAAGATTGACAAAGCAAATGACGTAGTCAAAATGTTCCCCAAGCTATACAAAAATAAAACTATTGCCATTAATTTAATAAAAACAAACAAAGAATTTTGAATAACTATTAAGATTTCGTAGCAGCTGTTGAAAAATGATCAAGTTTAAAAGTATTTAAAATTAATTCTTCTGTTTGAAGTCACTTTATAGCATTACAGTTCATGTAATGTGGCCATATAATATTAAAAAAGATCAGAGTAGGGAAAAATCAATAATTAGAAATACTTTTTATGATGTTATCTGAAAACAAACCTTCTATTAATAAATGAATATATCAAAATAATCAAAATACACCGACGGATAGGATTTTATTTATTTATTTAATACAGCAACAGCTTTAACACGTAGCAATACAAACTAGGATATGATTATTTTACTTTATTACTTGCAACACTGAATCCGTCGGTCAAGTGTCAAAACAGTCAAAGTGTCTAACTTGTTCGAATAGTTACAAACAATATAAATATTTTCGAAGACTGAAAATAACTGCTCTCCCTGTTTTTTTAAGCTAAAGTAATATGTATCCTAAACATCAAGGACAAATGCATACAAAAATAACCTATATAATAATACACATAAAATTATAACTTTATGAATATGCACATTGTGTAGTTGTGATAAACAACTAACTACTGTGTGGCTATATGCACTTTACTAATTCTTTATAAGGAAGATCTGTACTTTCAAGTGACATAGATGTCATCTCTGTATCTGGGGCACAGGCTCATACAATTCTTGGCAATCTCTTTTAGGCTGCCGAGGTGGCAAGGGTCACCCTAAACGGAAGTTAATCAATCAAATTAATGAAATATTGAAGATGGGACATGTTAATAGTGACCTAAACCGATTATGATGTATGCGTGAATATATGAGAAATTGAAATATATGAGAAAATATATGAGGAATTTCTGTGGAAGTCTTAGGGCGAGGAAGTGTCAGTCGCGCCGCTCCAATGTTTATTGGCAAACTTTTTTAATTTCCATGACAGGCACCTTCCCTCGCAATTTCGTTCATCACCACCGAACTCGTGATAAATTAGCACTTAAAATTACAATCCACACTTTGATAGATGCCGGCGGCGATCGAACTTGGTTAACGGTAACACAATTACTAAGAAATTGATGACAAACGCTTGGCCCCTGAGTTACCACGGCTTACAATTATCGTTAAAATCTATTTAAAAAAAAACTGTGATTGCCACGCTTGGCAATGGCAAGCGGGTTGGCAATCGCAGTTTTTTATTTTTAGTTGTTATAGGGAAGATACTGCTACCCATCTCCCTATTTGGTTCCCTCTGTAACCTCTTAAGACACCCACGGGATGATACATGGTAGTAGATATTCTTACACCGCTACTATACGGTAACCATGGTTTATTGTATACGTAATAAGCATTTTTTATTTTTGAAGGTCTGGAATTGATTTAGATATTTTATCAGTTTCAGCCTGGATATTATCAAGAAACAAAATCCTAGCACCTGAAATATTGGAGACAGCGTACCGAGACCTAAATTCTTTACCGTATATTACTACTGCGTATTTGGAGCAAGTGCAACAAAATGATGAAACATGTAAATGTCATTGGACAGCTCACGTGCAGGCTGAGGATATTAAAGAAGTCCGAAGGGACGAATTGTGAAAATGAACTATATGTTATTTAAAAACGGGGAAAACAATGTCTTGTCATTTGGTATTACATAACTAAATATATTATTTGTTTTCTTTTTATTTATAAAGGTAAGAGTGTCAAACGAGTACACATGATTTGATCTTTCATCAGATTGCATGTTGAAATATATACAGGAATATATGGTGATACGCTCGACCGGGGAAGGATCACGCTCTCACAAAATACCGGCGTAAAATAGTAGCTAAATGCTTCTATCTTTCGTACGGTGAGTGTAGAGAATCGGGGACCATATTAGTTGGAAACGAGGCATTCCCTTTTATTCCTTAGTGGTGGCAACGCATCTGCATTTTGATTCCTAATCGAGAACAGATGTAAATGTCCATGGATCTATATGCTCACACTTTTATGCTATAAAAAGTGACATACTGTAGACATTTTCAACTATCATCAATTAAGAATTGAAATGCAAATGCTTTTATGCACTTGAGGGCAAAGATGAAAAGCTTCGTTACCAATAAATTTGTGCAAGTGTGATCACGTCTTGGTAGAGTCGATCTATTCGTGCTTCAGCCATAATATAGCCAAGGCGTGGCTCTATAAGGTATATAAGTAGTTCTGTTTTATTTAATATATCAAGTCCTCCCTAACTCAACGAACGTTTCCAACTTCTCAGCTCCTCTCATAAACTTTCCCTTCAGTCCATTGAAAACCTTTCCCTTCTATCTCCCTTGCACTCCTCCACTTTTTACAGTAAATCTTTTTCAGTTCTTGGAGTCAAGCTTTGAAACTCCTAACCATTTACTAAAATACGTGCTTAACTGACTGCTTGACTGCTTTAAAAACCAAGTTAAGAAACATTGTCTTACCTTCTAAATTCTCCCCTTCCATCTTTTCCTGTCACTTTAATATCTAGTCTGTCCATTTAGTAAATTTTTGCCATGTTTAGTAATTTACTTTTATATTTTAGATTATAATATTATTTATAGTGCACTCCACCCATTGATAAACCCATCACTTTTTATTTCCTATTTAGGTTTTCTGGAAGAAATTGCTGTATAGCAATAAGACCGCATTTTGTTTTTCTCTTTGCTTGTTTATTGTTTTCTTAGTATACCATAAAGCATATTCTATTACATTAGTTGTTCTACTTTGAATAAATTTGATTAATAAAAATCATAAGGGATATTGTAAATTTGCTTTGTAACTGTACTTTATTTATTAAAATTAATATTTAAATTTAAAATGTAATAATTATTTAAGGCTAACATTTAAATTATCCTAATTTTTAACATTGTACATTTACGAAACAATTGTTTTTATCTCTTTGTTCGTTATATAAAAAGGCTTCTTAATAAAACTCTTTACATTCTGTATAATTTTATTTCAATAAAATAGGGACTGCGTATCTAAAAGTCATAGGATCCGTGCCTTGGTCATCGTAATATTTTGGAAGGCAGTTAGACCAGTCATCTTTTACTAACATTTCAGGAACCACCCCTATTTGTGCCAGCGGTTTCATGGCCAACTCTTTAGACACATCATTTAATAAATGATGCCGTGAAAGAATCCATACATAAACTGAAGAAAAAAAACAGTTACGTTCATTTCATAAATACTGTATACTAAGTTGCTATGTTTTAAAGTAACAAAACAGAAGTAAATAAAATCTTCTTTTTTTTTCAAATCTTCCTTCTTATTTACCAGTCAGTAAGATGGATGTGCTTGATCGCTTTGTTTAGTAATTTTTTCTAAGCCAGAGCTTATCTGCAAACCCACCTGATGGTAAGTGGTAATGGAGCTTAAGATTGTGAAACGCACTGACTTAACGAAATCCTATTCAATAAAGATATTGATTAATTTGCAACCTTCCGCTAACTAAATACAATGATGTGTCTTACCCGGATTGATGAGCACCTCCCGCCCTCCCTCAATTACGTGCACTAATTCCGTCGCCAATAGTCCCAGCACCACTACTCCCAACACCACTCCCAAAATACCGGCACCACTACTTCTAACACCACTATTCCAAGAAAGACGCACCATCGACGATAATACGACACGTGTTTCGCCTCTACACGAGGCATCCTCAGGTGATGTAGACTCTACGGCGGCCGACCGCTAATCCTATTTACTCTTCCCTTAAAGACACTCACATAGGAATCGGATGAAACGACAAATACTAGCTACATATTCCACTCTTTTGCTGTACGTATGCCGAACAGTGTAGCAAAGTGTTTGGTTCGAATGCGTGGTAAGTCAACAACGAAAGGGTGAAGTCGTTTAGCTTGCGTATTGCTGACTTTTTTATAGAAGAAGGGTGAAAAACGAGCATACAGTGCAAGTAATGGTAATTGGACACATACATTTATCGTCGATTAAGGATCAAAATGAAGATACTCTGTCATCACTGAGGACTAAGATGGAATGCCTCGATTCCAGTAAAACGGGTCTCCTGTTCTCTACACTAACTATACGAAGCTGCTATTTTACGCTGGTATTCTGTGAGAAAGCGTGATCCTTCCCCGGTCGAGCAGCATTCATGCTACAACGATAATATAGCTGCAGCGTGGCTCGACCACGTATAAAACACACGTATACCTCGGCAGCGTTTATTTTTCGAAAATTAAAAATATTTGCAGCTATCTATGGGCTGTTGTGGCCTATTACCATCAGGTGGACACTAACATTGTTTGTCATTTCAATATTATTTTAAAAAAATGTCATAATGTATCAAGAAATGTTGTGATATGTCGTGATATCATCAGTTATTTATGCATTATTTACTTCATTGTTTCAAGTTGTTTTACTTATCATAAGCCAGTGTGTGACTACCACTGTTGGCCGTATGAGGAAGCTCAAGGTCGCTCAGTGAGTTATGAAGAGGGCTATGCTCGGAGTTTCTCTGCATGATAGACTAAAAAATAAGGATATCCTTAAAATAACCTGAGTAACTGACACAGCCCAACGGATTAGTAAGCTGAAGTGGCAATGGACCGGCCATATAGCTCAAAGAACTGACAATCGATGAAAAAGAAAGGCTCTTGAGTGGCAGCCTCGTACCGGTGGACAAAGTGTAAGATGACCCCCACTGGACTGAGTGACGACTTGGTGAGGCATGCAAGAGGTCGAAGGATGCAGTTGGTTTAGAACCGCGCTTTGTGGCATTCTTTGGGAGAGGCCTATGTTCAGCAGTGGACTTGTGAAGGGCTGTAATAAATAAATGAATGAATTCTCGACTACAATTTCACTTGGTGGTAAATGGTGATGAAGTATTTGATGGTAAATTGCACCATCCAAGCGTAAAACAATTCTATTCACTCTTGCTTTGAAGACGCCCAGATTTTAATCGAACGCAAATACAGTCTACACTTTTAAGTTAATTATATTGTTCATAATTGGTGTTATGTGTTGAAAAGGTTTGGCGAAATTGGATACATACTATAGTGCTTATTTATGAGCGGGCTGTATTGGCAGGTATAGACAGTCGCATAATAATTGTAGTTGGTTGCCAACACGCGGAAAGGATATCTTCTCACTTTTACTGAAAGACAAAATATCATGTTACTGTTAGTTTAATATAAGTACACACCCGCATATCATCCCGTGGATGGAGGTCATAAAAGGCGACAGAGAGAAACTGTTACAGGAGATAGGCAGCAGCATCTTTCTGATACCAACTAAACATAAAAAAACTGTGTTTTCCTACTCGTTTGCCTAGCAAATACTGCAAAATTTACTCTACTCGTATGAGACTATTTATGGGGGACGCCAATGTTCAGCAATGGCCTATTGAGCTGTAATGATGATGTTGATCAAACATACGTTGACTCTCATGCATGTCACACAGAGGCGTAGATATAGACTTCAGACTTCAAACATGCTCGTCGGTATTTTTTTAAATATAGAATAAAAGTGACAAACGAGCACACAGTCCACCTGAATGTAAGTGGATGCTGTGTCCCATAGACATCTGCATTTATCCTCGATTGTAAAACAAAAGGCAGATGCGTTGTCACCCCTGAGGATTAAGATGGTATGCCTCGTTTCCAGAACAAAAGGGTCTTCGGATCTCTACATTCACCATTCGAAACACATCAGTATTAAGCTGCTATTTTACGCTGGTAATTTGTGAGAGCGTGGTCCTTCCTCGGTCGAGGCAACCCATCCGTACTAGGACCATAATATAGCTGCAGCGTGGCTCTACCACGTACAAAATGTTTCCTACTCTTGGCCCATCTTCAGTAACGCTAATATGGCTTTCGTTTTGGGCGTTCCTTGCCGAGTCTGCCTTACTTCTGTAGAATAGATTTGCTTGGTTACTCTTTCTACATTCACCATCAAATCATTCCTTTTTACTTCCGCTCACCACTTGTTTTTGCAAAACACTGTTTTTCTCATCGTATAATTTCAAGAAGTGATTACATTATTATTCATGGTTATCATGTCATCATATTATTTTACGTATATATCTTGTTAGTATATTAATGTTAGTGTATTGATTATTTGGTAGTTGGTATGATGAAAAAATCTATTGTATTTGTCAACCTGTACCTATGGTTGACAAATACAGTTTTTTTTAACGGACAACTGATAGGACGCAAGCTTAGTTTGGAATAGATTCCTAAATTAAGTGACGATCTGGTAAGAGATGCAGGTGACTCAGGACCGTGGTTTGCGGCATTAGTTGAGCGAGGCTCATGTCAACTGTGGACCAGCTAAGGACTATACTTATGAAGATATTTTTGAAGCTAGCCATCTCTAATTTTACACTGTCAAATCGTACTTTGTTAGACCGTTTTTATTTTATATAGTTGCATTTAACAGACATGCAATTTAAAAACTTACAAGTACAAGGAACTTTTATAACGATGGTCTAGTTCTTTGTTTAAATTTTCCTGCAGGTTCTTTTCTTTGTAATGCATAATATAACGGTCAAAGACGAACATCGGAAGTCTTTAACGTATTTTTGCCAGGTCAGTAACGTATCGTTGGGAGTTCTCTGATATTTTATTCAAAGTAAATGACATTTTCTTCCTCATTTCATTTATATATCAGTGAAAAATTATAAAATCAAAGAAAACTAATTCAAAGCTCATTAGGACTGTTAAGTAATTGGGTTAGAAGTTAGATTGCGGTATAGAAACGACTCTCTATTTAAGAATAAATATAGAACTTCATTATAAAAAGTATTCAACGCACACACAAAATTCGGAAAAACAATTACATTATTGTTTTCACCTCGGTTTTTGAAAATCAAGTTCTCATCAGATCTCGACGTTTCGAGGTTATAGGAAGCTATTCTGGCTATTTTTGCGACAATGTGACTGTCTCTCTCTCTCTCTCTTAAAATCGGTTGATTCGTTCAAAAGATATCGTTGTCGAAAGAAACCTTGAAAAAGTGTATTTTCAAATAACTTGAAAAGTGTTCGTCAAATCGATTTTTTGTGATAAATGTTTTTGTTAAGCTCAAAAATTGCGTAGATTTCGCAAACCGCATCAAAATAAAAAATGCTCGCAAAAAGCTCGAAGAGCTCAAAAAAGCACAACAGGTGAAATTTGAAGAGCTTTACATTTGAAATTAGCGGGAATTTGCAGCGGTGGCCTGTTTCTGTGGCAGTGGTCAACCTTATCTTTTTTAAAGAATAAGGGTGACAGAGGAGCAAATATTTTGGTGAACTTCTAATGTAATAAAACTGATTTTAAGAATTTTATCGCATTTAACTATTTTCAACTGTGTCGGCGGGAATCGAACCCGGGTTACTCGCGTACTGTAAAATTTACAGAGATCATTTAGCTCCTGAGCTACCACCTGCTTGGCGGCGAAGAAAAACATCATGAGGAAATCTACACATTTGAGAAATAAGAAAAAAATGTTTTAAGACGTGAAGTTTGCCAACACTTAGAGCGGCGCGGCGGATTTTTCCTTGCCGTAAAACCTTTTCGGAAATTAAAGGAAGCCTGTGCCCATCAGTGAAGCATATAATATAGGCTCTGGCTTTACTTTAAACTTTTATTAATTTTAACTTCTTTGGTGAAATATACTTGCATTTCAGTGTTTAAATCACCCGAAAACGAACCATTACATTAGACGACACGGATTCAAAAACATTCAACTTTCAAAAGGAATTGATCGGGTCCGATTTGAAGCAAATATAATATAACAACCGTTCGCATTTCGTTTAAACCTATGTAATTACCGTATAGTAGCTATGATTAATATCCACTACCCATATCATCCTGTGGTTGTCGTAAGAGGCGACAGAGGGTAACAAATCATGAGATAGGCAACAGCGTCGCCTAATAACGACAAAAAATAAGTTGCCAACCCGTTAGAAGCAATCTATATAAAATATATATATATTCATATATATAGATAACTCAGCAGTGGACTTTAATAAACGGTAACGATAGGTGGTAAGACTCATCTTTTACTTAGGAGCCCGCCCAGTACCTTCCTCTTTCTTACTTCTACCGTGAGAAGTAGTGCCAGCACTGCTGTATTCTGCTCCGAAGGATAAAGGTGCCATTTAATTACAGACTGCGAGACATTACATCTAAATCCTCATAAGTGATTTTTTATAGAATAAGAATGACAAACGAGCACACAGTCCACCGATGGTAAGTGGATGCTGTGGCTCATATTCATTTAAATTTATCCTCGATTAAGAATCAAATATAATAATAATAATAGTTATCACCCCTGAGGACTAAGATGGAGTACCTCGTTTCCAGTAAAAAGGGCCTCCGGATCTCTACACTCACCGTACGAGACACAGCATTATTAAACTGCTATTTTACGCTGGTAATCTGTGAGTGATAACGTATTTGTAACCATATTTGTTTGAAACTGGTTGTAGTTCTCCATGAGTTGCAGTAACATCTACCATCAGATGGACTGTCACTGATACTGTTCATTTATCAGTTCAACTTTTAAAATACAACTGACATCAATTGTTTTTGCCCGAATATCAATGTTAGATAATATTTTTCATCAAAATATTAATATGCTGGAAAACTTAAATATTATAAATATATTTGAAAACCAAAAATAATTCCTTACATCTTCTTGGTGCATTTTCGAATTGAAATGTAACATCCAACTCGGATGCAACTTCATTTTTCTTCATAATAATCTGAAGTTTTCCTATACTGTGCCTGTGGAAAAGACCATGGTCTACTCTTGAGAAGTTTACATAAATCCCTCCGGGTTTATAAGAGAGTTCAATCGTTGAACAGTTATTTGTGAGTTGACTGTCACTGGAATAGCGATACGCTTGATACCAGGTACCATCAAACTGTAAATTAAAATTAAATATTCATTTTTATAATTAATTACGTAACATGAAGGTATACACCGTGTAGTGACGGCGTAAGATATCCACTACCCAATATCACCCCGTGGATGTCTAACACATGGAACTAACACAGCATTGTGAATTGCCATAGATGCCTCTTTTGATACATTTTGACTTTCTACAATAGAGTGTTCAGCTATTTACTTTATTTCCTACATTCACTCGTCGTTCCATATCCTTATCATATCTCTTATCCCTGCTGAATAAACATTCCAAATAAAAAAACTCATCTACTTACTCAACCTACTCCCCTTCTATTCTTATTTCACGTATCGTTTTACTTTCTTCTCTTTCAAAAAACCATAACCTTCACTTACACACACCTTACTTGCGTTCACTTTCATTCACCTTTCTTTTAATGACCTATTCATTAATGTAACCATAATTTGCAACTCAACCGCAGACGATGCAAATTTGACTTCATCGTCGGCGTACAAAAGACATTTGACGGTTAATTCTCCGCGATCATCAGCATGAAAAAGACTTGATCTGTACACCTCATTTCTTTTCACAATCCCGCTTGTACATCCCAAATGCATCCATAATTTTTTTATAGGATAAGGGTGACAAACGAGTACACAGTCCACCCGATGGTAAGTAGATGCTGTGGCCCATAGACATCTAGATTTAATCTCGATTAAGAATCAAAATGCAGATGCGTTGTCACCCCTAGGGACTGAGATGGAATACCTCAATTCCAGTAAAACGGGTCTCCGGTTCTCTACACTCACCATACGAAAAGCAGCAGCAGTATTTTGCTCTGGTATTCTGTGGAAGCATGTTCCTTCCCCGGTCGAGCCGACCCATTCATGATACAACCATAATTTAGCTGCAGCGTGAACCAAGTATAAAACTTTTATTTCATAACTCTTTCAATTAGTACCTTAGCATACAGTTTTCCCACAATCCTAAGAAAGCTGATACTACGGTAGTTTTTACAGTCCTGCTGCGACTCTTTCCCTTATATATTGGGACTATCACGGCTTTGCACCAGTCTCCCAGTACCCGCTTCAGTTCCCAACTTAAATAAAATAGAGTGTACAGCAGGTCTACCTCTACTATATACCATTACTCTATTATATCTGGCTGCCTTACCTGCTTTCACGTTTTACTTATCTCTTTCCTCTTCTTTCGGAATTTTTATTTCATTTAGTTCACGCTCATAAACACGCTTTCAAAATATATTATAAAAATAAATACTTGTCATAAATCAACTAATAAAATATTTTGCATAGCTTACCTCAGCTAAGTTAAATTCTTCTTGCAATTTCACATTTTCAGGACATTTTCCGGGTAGTGTAAAATATCCACTAACAAATTTTAAACATATAAATAATATTATGGTTTTAATTACTTCCATTTTAACAAAGAACCGTTGCCTTTCGCTCTCTTTGTTGTAATCGACAAAAGTTTCTGAGTTAATAATAACATTTAAAGTTAAAGGTTATCAATGAATATAATATTTAGTAAATATTGGAGATTATTCATTCTAGGAATGAAAGTTCTTGTAGTCTAAGTATGGAACTACATACATAATAATTTTATTTCTTCTTTTCCTCCATTATCGACCCGTAACATTGCATGCTGGACAAGGGCCTTACATGTTGAATTGTCATTTGCCTTAAAAGTCTGACAAATGATTGAGGGGATCGACGAACGCAGTACCATACATCTCCAACCTTTGATGCTGTTGCCTGTCAACAGTCTGGGCATTTTACATCTGCCTTATATACTGCAAGTTTGGTTGCTAGTGGCGTAACTCTTACCTGATGGTAGGACTCTCCTTTTTCGACTAGGAGTCCGTCTGAGAAGATACTATCATCTTAGTTATTTTTGACGCCAAATACTTGCACTGCTGTGTTTCGGTCTGAAGTGTAAAATAGTCAGTATAATTACAGGTTGTGAGATATTCCATTTTATTCCTCGGCATTTGCAGCCCTCTATGTTTGAAGTTGGCTGCCAGTGTCCATCGATGGCAGTACCAGATGGATTTTAAGTTTGTTTGTCTCTTCAAGCTGACTGCAGTAGTCACATAACATTAAATGACCTGTTATCGATAACGTCACCCTTTTTTATAAATTCGTTTAATTTAATTATGACCGCTGCGGCCGAGGGTTGGAATCCCGCACAGAACAAGTATTTGCACGGTCTAGAAATAACTGTTCCGAGTCTGGATGTTTGTCCTTGTGCAATTTATATAGAAAATCTTAGTGGGAGTTACATTCTTTAAAAATGAAATCAAAGTATAAATTTTTATTTTACGTTTTAATATACTGTTTTTTCTTTCTTCAAAAATAACTAATCAAATTGTAACTACATTAAAGTGGCTATTACAAAGTATCAAAATTCTAGTTCCATTATAAAAGGTTTTCAAAATATTACAATTCTCAAAGGAAGTTTTAAAACGAAACCCAACATAGTTCAATTTAAAGACCAATTTCAACGTAAATCATCTTTACAAGCAGACGGGGGTCATATCATTGGATAATTATCGCGTGGGATGCGACCCAATCGTCATTTCATACCACATTCTCGTACTGGTCACTTGTTTTTTTTTTGTTGTTGTCAATAAGAATGTTATTAATAATCAGTTGTTTTTATTTGATACACTCAGTAATCGCCGCAGAATTCACTCTGCCTGGAGAATGTCCTATTGTTAATATACAGGAAAATTTAGATTACACGAAGGTACCAATTTTTTTGTATTATTTTATTGTTTTATATTTACCAGGCACTTTCTACCAAGTATACTTAATAATATTGTAATTTACTCCAGATTAAATTTAACATCATTATTATAATGCCGTAAAAGGTCGCCTTTCTATACTCTTCACTATTAGACACGTTAAACGAATTAATTCGTGATAGCAACAATCCTTACGTACTTCATTTCTTTAATTTTTGTCACTGGCTTGTTGATATTTTTTTTTGTTTGTATAATGTATAGTTTTACTAACATTTTGTATCGTTTTCCACTAAAAAATTAAAAAATATAATGTATAAACTGTAGCTAAGATTCAAAGCGACTATTCTGCAACTTACACTTAAATCGTAAGGTAGTTAAGTGGTACCAGAATTTTCTCTAAGATTTAGAAAGAATTGGGTGAAAAAATTTACTGCAGTTTTCAGGTCTTTGGTACAATGTTGCAAGTTATGCAAGTGACGGTCGTCCGATTTACGACTGTGCCACGCTAAACTTTCAAGAAGACAATCTTGGTTATACACTCAGGGAAACGTACGTGGGCACAGATCTGGGAAATCGCACTCAGAATTCGTATTTTGCTCGCGTAGATCCAACATTTGATGCAGGCAATAAGGCTAAGTTTATTGTTAGCCATGAGAATGGTGGTAAGTTGTAAATTACATTGGAATTGGATTTCTGTAAGATTGGAATACATTTTATTTTTTTCATTGGAATACAACATCTGCTCAGGTAACTTTTAGTAACTTTTAATAACCAGCTTTGTGATGACGATGTTAACAGTTTAGCTAGCTTTTGAAAATTAACAAAGTTACAATAACATAAGAAATCAATAGAGCATTGTTAAGTGTGGTGCTAATATAGACCATTTTCTAGCGAGAAGGTTAGCTATACCGCCGAACTCGACATAGTAAAAATATATCATGTTGCTTGGAAGTCAAACACAAAACAATTTCATAAGTAGTTAAAGTGGTCTTAGTAACACTACAATTTCTCGGGATTCAACCCAATTTTAAGTTAAAAGTTAAAGTTACAGCCAATACACGTCTCACTTCTGGGCATAGGCCTCCTCTCGTATTTGAGAGGGTTTTAGGGCAAGGAAATGTTTGCCACGCTACTCCAATGTGTGTAGGTGAACTTCACATGTACACATAATTTTTTTTTCTTGCACATGCATGATTCCTCACGTGTGTCTTCTTTCGCCACCGAGCACGTGGTAAACTAGCACTTAAATTTACAGACAATTAATGTTTTAATTGCAATATAATGTGATATATAGAAAGTCTGTAGCTATTCCTGTTCTTTTAAAATATAAAGCTAATGTTGGATGATTTAAATTTTAAAATTAAATTAATTGTTTATTTTAATCGAAATAATTTCAGTTTAATTCCTTACTATTTATTATTTTATTTATTTTGAGATCCATTCATATTCCCACCATTCATTTCCCAACCTGTATTATTTCAGATAAAATACTGCAGTTCCCCTTCTTCATTTTGTCTACGGACTACGATAACTACGCAATCACTTACACCTGCAAAACTCTAAAGAAGAGGCAGCGTACACATTATGGTAATTATATAAACATTTGTATACAGTGATTAATGCACGGTGTCGTAAGAGATATCTATGCCAGAAAAATTTATGGCTTCTTACGCGTGGTATAAATTGTGGGTATTTTATGAAAGAAATTTCTTGAGTGTTAGGCACGCACGTAGTTATACATTTTTTATTTGATGATGTAAAACTTGCCGATGTCTTACAATCTTATTATTATCTTTGTTTTCCATTTAAACTAAAAAAAAATGGAAATATATGGCAGTAAAACTACATCGTTCGCAATAGAAGTCAGAGATTCAAAACATCCTATACTTTGAACGTCAAACCACCTGTCTAAAGTGACGATTAAGGCAAATTCTTGTTACAACAGGAGGGTTGAAGGTGATCCAGCAGTTTACATTTACAGGCTGAAGAAGAGAAAGAAAAAGCAAAACAGTGTTCGAGAAGGAGCGCCACTCGCGATAAATATGCAAACATGAGTTTACAACTTTATAATGACCTACTCGTAATATGCCTGTGCAAATAAGCTGCTAAAATTGAAGAAGGTTGACTGGGAACGGCCGCAGATTATGAAATTCAATTTTCTCGCGAATTTCGCCATCTAGTGGAGATAAAATGTATTTTACTTATTGCACATATCTTCGCAAATATAATGAATAATATTCATTATTCCTTATATTTCTACTCTTAGTAATAATTATACCTGGTAGAACCAGGCTGCAGCTATATTAGTTGTAGCACGAATGGGTCGATTCATTCGGGGTAGGACCACGCTCTCACAGAATACCAGCGTAAAATCGTTTCGTGTGGTGAGTGTTGAGATCCACAGACCTTTTTTTTACTGGAAACGAGGCATTCCATCATATTCCTCAGGGGTGACAACGCATCTACATTACGATTCTTAATCGACATCCACTTGCCATCACGCAGACTGTGTGCTCGTTCATTACCCTTTTCTTTAAAAAAATATATAGTTATTCTAACGCTCACCGTGAATAGAATTGCATTTATGACATTTTAAAGACTCCTAGCACGTTAAAAATATTGGACAAATCAGAAGAAATGCCTTATATAAAAAAGTGCTAGATGTTGCTAGATCTTTCATGTTAATACAATTTTCTAAAATTAAAAAAATCCTGTGTCAAACAGAAATGGCGACACAGACATCAAGACGATTCTGCAAGTGATCAAATTTTGCTAATTTTGACACTTAGAAGTATTAATGACGTTCTTAAATTGAAGTCTACGAAAACGCGAAACCGCGACTTAAAAAGATAAAAAATTCAAGTGAATCTAATACTTGATAATACTCAATTAGACGATGGGTCAATCCAAGTGGTTGCGGCAACCCAGGAAGGATTTAAACCCATGCTAGAGTCAGTATTAATGCTAAAACGCAAATATTTTTTCAAGCTTGTTTGTGTTATGATTGTCACAAATTTTGAACATGAGGGCATTGCATCGAAGTTTTTTCAAATTCATAACATACGTATGGGTTAACTTGAATAATATGTGAGCAAGCATTTCCGTGGTTTTAGCCACAGAACACGGAATAAGACATTCTGTTTTCTATGGTTTTAGCGATATGCAGCGAAAGTGTAACACCACGAATTTCTTATGGAAGTAAGGGTAACAAACGAGCTCACAGTCCACTAGATGGTAAGTAACCGTAACCCGTAGAAATCTAGATATATTCTCATTAATAAATTACCATCTGGTGGACTGTGTACTCGTTTGTCACCTTAATTCTATAAATAAAATTATAAATAGAAATGCATATGCGTTGTCAACTTGGAAGACTTAGTTATACCTCCTTACTACGACATTCCATCTAAGTCGTAAGTTTACTTTTACTTTTTATTTGCGAATATAAAAAGGGGACCTATTTTAATAAGTCCTTCGTAAATCAAAATTTAAACAAATCTCCATATTGAGATCCAACATTTAAAAAAAGGAAATCAAATATTTTAATCGACTGTAGCCATTTAAGTTCTATGCATTCTATAAAATAAAATATTCACCTCGAGAGAAATCCACACATATAAAATTTGACGCACATTTACAGCTGTCTCGGATAGTAATTAGCTTCGCATTTTGCA